TAAATGGAAAAGCTTACTACAATTCAGTGACTGCCAGTATGTTAAAAAGAATTTTGAATTTTTTCCGTGTATGTATAAACTTGCAGATTTTTATCAATACGCTTCTTTAATTTACACCATTTTAAAAAAGTAAAGTAGCTTTTCAGAAATTAATTATAATTGCTTTTTCGCTTTACACCATTTCAGATATCAGAAGAAACCTCTTCTAATGCAGATCCTACATAATTTAATGGTAATTGCTTTTTCGCTTTACATCAGTTCGAATTGCTTGTGAAAGATGTCGTAATGTAAGTTCTCTTTACAAAAGTAAAATGGCGTGAGCGAACTTCCAAAAAAGCGGGAGATACCTTTATATAAAGATTAGAGCAAAATATAAGAGTATTAGTTTTAAGTATCGGAGTGGTGGCTGCCGTGAGTGAAAAGATGCAAAGGCGTAGATAGATAGATTTGGGAGTTCGTAAGCCATTCAATACATCCGACCCTCTCTTCTTCCGGTAGAAATGACGAATAAATAAATAAATAACAATAGGTTTCCCAGTCACAGCATCAAGCCCATCAGTAGTAGACGCATTAAAACAGGGTCCGGCGTCAGTTATTAGTGACGCTCGTTTGATCAAAACTAAAAGAGGAAAAAAAAAAAAACGTTTAAACAAAAAAAAATGAATACGACACAAATAAATCTAAGGAGAATTTGTGTCCCTGATTTTTCCGCCTCCCCCGCTTGCATTAACTCGGATTTTGGCATTTAAGACATTTTTTTTCTATTTTTTTTCTTTTTTCTTTTTTTGGTTTATTGACCCTTACTTATCTTTCTGAAGATAGTCATTTTTTTTTTCTATCGAGTAATCTCATACTGTCCATAGTTTATACATTGGACTCAACCTGCTCCTATCAATCTATATAACTATCGGTATAGCTATCTATTTATCAGACAAGATGGTCGTTAATACATACATAAATGCACACACACATACACACAGATATATATATATATATATATATATATATATATATATATATATATATATATATATATATGGTACCTCAAAAATTCGCTACAAAATGAGCATGCTTGATGAAAAATCGTCAAAATCTTTATTAAGAGGAAAGACCATTTCTGTTATTAAATTTTATTTTTAATCCGTTTTAAAACCTTTAAAATTTAGCTTAATTTTTTTGTTTTTCTTGCGTCAGCGGGTGACCAAACGTTAGAATAGGAAATATTAGCGTCTTTTGGAGTGAAAAATATATTGATTTGAAAATTCTTCCAAAAATCAGATAATTGTCAAATTTTAATGAAAGTTTCAAGACTGATTCACAAATGAATGAAATAAGTTTTGAAAAAATTGAAAAAAGTTTTGTTTTTTTTTACATCTGTTAACCCCAACTTATTTTAATTTTGATAAAAAATCATTTTTGTAGCGCTTTATCTATATAACGGTTATAAGCACAAGAATTTGGAGAATTTAAATCATCATTTATTTTGTAAATTTAATCATTAAATTAAATTAAATCATCATTTTTTTATTTTACGATTCAGAACAGATTTTCTGCATTTGCTCTGAATCGTAAAATAAAAAAAAATGTAATAAAACTAAGGCATTAGAAATCTTTTAATTGTTTTTATGAATAAGAACTATCGTTTTAAGAAAAATATATTTTTGAATGAATAATGAATTGCTTGCATTTTTTAAAAGTTTTGAATATAATTATTTATAAAGTTTTAAATCTTTTAAATTTCTGTATTAATTTGTAGCGATTAGGTAATATTGTTATTGTGTAAAACTGTATTTACTAATCATACATGTAAAAGCTTACTACAATTCAGCGACTCCCAGTATTTTTCCCGTGTGTGTATAAACATGCCGATTTTTGTAAACACGTACGTCCATACACGATATTATCAGAAAATAAAAGCGGTAACTATAGTAAATTAAAAATGTATTGCTAATTTTCTAACATTTCCTCTGTGGGCGTCTTTGTAAGTAAGGCTATAAAGCTAAAGTACCTAAAATTTAATAAAATCCTAGTACTCTTAAAATATTCATAATTTTTAAGACCACTAGGTCGTTTAAAAAATTATATAAAAAAAGCGATTACATTGTATTCGTTATGCAATTTTTGTACAAACATCCGACTGTCGATATATCTGTCAACAGCTTCGTGTTATAAATGCTTTTCTGTGATATTTTAACCTGAAAGTAAATAATATTCGATGCAATCTAGTGTAATTAAACACGCGGAAAAAAATTCAAAATTCTTTTTTAAAATACCGGGGGTGGATGAATTGTAGTAAGCGTTTCTATTTATGATTAGTAAATACACTTTTCATTTAATATGACTTTACCGCTACAAATTAATAAAGAATTTTAAAAGATTTCAAATTTATAAATCTTTCTAATTCAATTTTTAAAAAATGAAAACAGTTGTGATAAATATTCATTATTCATCGAAAAATGTTTTCGTAAGACAATAGTGAGCATTTTATTCACAAAAGCTATTAAAAGCTTTTTTTTATTAAACAATATTTTAGTTTTATTGCATTTTATATTTTACGAATCAAAGCAGAAAAGTTCACACATGAACTTAATAACAAGATAATTCCTTTTCTTGATACATTGTTAGACATCAATAATAATAATACATTTACCCCCTCCCCATATAAAACACTAACTAGCATAAAAACTTGAACTACAAAGTTGAATGTCTCATTACAAAACAACGATTATAAAAACAATTAATAAACCGGGCAAAAGTTAACTCTTCCACGAAAAACATTCTTCAAGAAACAAAAAACATTAAACAACAAACTCTCCTTAATAATGACTTTACTAATTATATGGTTAGACGATCTGTTGACATAAAACAAAAAGAACATAATACTTCCTCATATCAATGTACTATGCCGCAACTCTACATATACATTCCAACTACAAACAAGATGGAAAATTCCGAAAAACCTCATAATTACTAATATATCCCCCCATTGATTCCATTAAAAAATAAAACTAATTAAATAATAAACTAAACTTAATACAACCAACTTAATTATCCACTATAACTCTTCTCTTTCAATTAATGTTTTGCAAAGACCGACATCGTATATCAATTTAAATGTCCTTTGGGAGATTGTATCTGTGAGAAAAACGTAAATATATATGTTGGTTTCACGACGACGACACTATCAAGAAGGTTTACTTTACACCTGTGGTTTTCAAGTTCTATTGCACAACATTAAAAAAAATATTCCTGTACAACTTTCAGGTTTTAGAGAAATATTAATTAGCAATAAAAGTATACTCTATCGTGAAAACGAACAAAAAATTCAAGTTTTCAAAGCACTCTGTGTAAAAAAAAAAAATAAAACCAACACTAAATAAAATTAATTATGAGTATAGCAACAATGTTTTAAAATGTCTATAAAAGCAATTGTTTTGGATGTTCAAATTGTAAAGCAAAATGTCATTTTTTTTTCTTAATTGCCGGTTGAGTATTTTTAAGATATTAAAAATAAAACATTTAAACTAAGTTATCTCCCTTATATATTCTTAACGTACATTAATTTTAGTGTTTCATGCGCATTTACAAAAACATTCTCAACTAATAATTACATTAATTTTTTGTTCACCTCTGAAAATGATCTTGGATGAGATTGAAAATACTTGAGAAAATTAAAGAAATAACCAAATCTACGGCGTATTTCTTTCTCTGTTTTGTAAAAGCACGAAGTAAATGATCCGTGAAATTGATAAAATTAAAATAATATATATATATATACAGTAGCGTCCAAAACTAAGCGACAAAATTTTAAAACCTAATATTTGTTAGAAATAACAACTGTGAAAAGCTGAAATTTTGACAACTGGTAGTCGTTATCATCCATAATAACATACTAAAATTTTAATCATTTGCAAAGGATAGATAAAGAATTATAACAATTATTTATTTATTTTCAAATTTGGAACGTCCAAAAGTAAGTTATTATGGATGATAACGACTACCAGTTGTCAAAATTTCAGCTTTTCACAGTTGTTATTTCTAACAAATATTAGGTTTTAAAATTTTGTCCCTTAGTTTTGGACGCTACTGTATGTGTGTGTCTGTGCGCGCGCGTGCGCGTGTGTGTATGTAAGAGTTGTGTAGAGTTGAATGAGAATCGGACAAAATGATCAGATATATAAAGTTTTGTTTATTTTTATTTTGTTAACTCCAAATATCCGGATCCCTAAAAAAAGAATTTTATTGCAAATAAACATCGAAATGAACGAGACAAAAAGTGATTTCCTTTAAACGGCTGAAGGCGTGTATCGTTATAGAAATTAGATTTTATCTAATTTCAGCTCATTTTCTATTTTATTTATGTTTTTTACTTTTATTTATTTATTTTTTATTTATTTATTTTATTTATTTTCACCTAAGTTTAGGTATTTCACATTGTTCAGGCATTAATTAAGAACACGGGATGAATACAGCAACACGGGCTGTTTCAATTCATCCCCTGTTTTTACTCATGTGAAAATTTGCATAGCTAAAGCCTGGGCTGCCTTGAATAAAATGGCTGTAATCTGGAAATCTGATCTACCAGACAACCTCAAACGGAGATTCTTTCGTGCCACTGTAGGGGCGGTTTTAATATATGTTACCACAGCCTGGACATTAATTAAATCCCTCGTGTCTAAGCTTGATGGAACGTACACACAGATGCTGAGAGTTATTCTTAACATGTCTTGGAGACAACATCCGACTAAATCACAGGTTTATGGACCCGTCGTTGATATTTCTACAATCTTACGCGAAATCAGAAAGCGATTTGCAGGACACTCATGGCGAGAAAAAGAACTCGCAATTGATCTACTGCTCTGGACACCTAGCAATGGCGCAGGACTGGCTGGTCGCCCAAGAGTCACCATTGACCAGTTATGTTATGACACAGAATGTCACCCTGATGACCTTCAGACCTTGATGCTGGACTGTGATGGTTGGAGTGATAGACGAGCTAGCTCAACCGAATAAATAATAATAATCTATCTATCTATCTATCTATCTATCTATCTATCTATCTATCTATCTGTTGCATTTCTCCTAACATGTTTATATCAAGATATCTGACTCTTGGCATGGGAAGTATTCAGATGAAGTCCTCTCTTTAGTTCGACCATTCCCAACCTTCACGGCTAAGACACGCCCATCCCAGGAACATTGTAGCAAATCACCCTCATTCATCTCTGGACGTATTAATCTATATTGATAATATCAACGGCCATAATAATCACCGTCTTTTTTGGAAACCAAACACCTAGTCGTTGACAGCCGAAGTGTGAGCGGAATCCACCTTATTAAAAGGTCAAACTCCCGTGCGAAATTGCCTTTAAAGTTGCAGATCCAGTATCACCTACCAAAAAAATAGTTTTTTTGTATGTTTGTTTTTGGTGGTTCACAAACATTTTTTTTTTCTTTGGGCCTCATTTTCGTAATTAAAAAATTGCTCCCGAATCACCAAATTTTATGTGATAAAAAGTACATTTAAAATTTAAAAAAAAAAAAAGGAACAACAAAGAGTGTGTTAAAGGGAGATAACCGCGGATTCGATAATTATCAATATCATTGGTAACCCTCTCCTCCAATTTCGGGACCGTAATTACTATATACATAATATTGATATGATGCAAAAATAGTACAAATCGGTTAATACTTATTTATAACCATTTATACCGAGGCTCATGCAGATATGTCAAAGTAATCCATAATATTTCTAAATTTTGAACTAATATGTATTTTTGGCATATAGATATTTCGAAACTGTTTTCTTAATCTTTGATTGTCTTTCAATCATTCAACCTCACCTGCTATCGACTACCGGCGCACCTATGAAGCGCGTGGAATCGTTTGGGAATTATTTATTTAGACTCTTAAAAAGGTGTTGCGAGAAAACAATGTAAAGAAAACGATATATCGTGGGGAAAATCCCAGTCTTACTAACCGAGGTTTTTTTTTTTTTATCATTTCAACCCAGGCAAGGCAATAAAGCCACTAAGACACAAGGGCTTACTGATAGTGAAAGAATAAGAAAACGAAAAACATTATTAAGCAGCGGGAAAAATCTAATCAAGAAGACAATAGATAACGATTGCCATTTAAACTTTTGAAGATAAAATTTACCTGGAATGCAAGCCAGAAGAGAGTTCTACAAGCGAGAAGTGCGAGAAATGAAACTGTGAGCATAGACCTTACGGTTACATCTAGCGAATTCGACTGAAAAAAATGATGAGACCTCTAGTACTGGGTTTAAATTCATAAAACTCAAGATAAATAATAACTTATAAAATCAGCTTAAATACCGAAAAGTTCATCAGAACAATTACCATGAAAATATTTATAGAAAGGCACAGGGAAGATACATTAAATCGTTTAGAAGGAAACTGAGACCAGGATGCCAGGTCAGGACCAATAACATTACAGATTCTCATTTGGACTTTACAAAAAATCTTTAAATAGAGCACCAGACCATATGTGGCAGCAATATTCAAAGCATGGACGAATGGTAGACTTATAAATGTGTATGATAGATTCTGGAGATAAAAATTGTCGAGGACGACACAGTGAACCATTTTTCTTTGCAGCAGACCGAGCAATAAATTCAATATAATCTTTCCATTTCATGTCAACAGAGAAAGTTAGCCCGAAAAGTCGCAAGGAGTGACTCTCTTGGTGGTTAGCATCAGCCATGTGGATGGGAGGCAGAAATGGTTTCTCACATGATTGATTGATTGAGAGCAGTTTGTTATATATATATCTATCTATAAAAGGCAGGATGTGTGTGTGTGTGTGTGCGTGTGTGTGTGTGTGTGTGTGTGTGTGTGTGTTTGTGTGTGTGTGTGTGTGTGTGTGTGTGTAACGAATGCACGGCCGCAATATTCGACGGATTTACACCAAAATTTACATGCACATGCTCCAAGTTAGCGGAAAGGCCAAGACCGACTTTGCATTTCCCCACTCCCATCGATAGTGGAAATAATCGATTTTTTCATGTTTCTGTGGCAGTTTTCATGTAGTTTGCGGCCATTTTGTACTGGCCAGAGTGAAAGCCAATAGCTGGCTGCCACGAATAGGCAGGAAGATTCTATTGGCCAGTGTGAGAGCCAACAGCTGACTGACACAAATGTTAACTAGCATGCTAGCATGCAAAAAAATCGATAGCTGCATTCGTCACAAGTGGGAAAAATTTAAAACTGCATGGCACTTTACTCCAATTGGCTCATTTGCTTGCTTAAACTCAACGTTGATTCAGATTCCGCAGAACTGGGTTGGGTGTGAAAAAGTATTTGTTGTTAACATTCTTTTTTCATTCGGTTTTTCCAGTTACTAGTCCTTTTTTAAAGCTGATCGTTTTGTGTTCATTTTGTTTAGTTCTTTTTTTGTAACAGATTTAATGTTTTAAAGGATTGTTCGGTTGGCAAGGTCGAATTTACTGCTTATAAACTTCAAACTTAAATTCGACTTTGCCAACTGAACGATCCTTTGTGGTCGAGCGGTAAGTCACGTCAGGCTATATGACGGTTCCGTCTAGGATACAGGTTTGAATCCTGTCGAAGAGCAAATGTTTTCTATGAAAATTTCTCGGACATTCCAGCCGGTAAATGTTATTTAATACTGTTTAATGTAAAACAGAGCATTTACTTAAATACTTGTATCTATAAAAAGAATGTTAAACGTAAAAATGTCTTTAAATAATTGTCGGACTTTGTCCATTTCATAATATATATTCGTTCCTTCTTCCTGAAAATGGCAAATCAACATTCTTTGAGAAATTTAAAAGGAACTTTTTTTTAAAAAATGATGGTGAATTTTTAAGGTATTTCTATCTTTACTCGGTCAGTTTGTTTGGTCTGTGTGTATGTTATGTACGTATTAACTACTCTTGTTGCAACATCTTGAAGTTGCCGAAGGGTATAAAATAATATATATATATATATATATATATATATATATATATATATATATATATATTACTATTTTCTTTATTCATCTCTATCGTCTTAATTTACATATGATTTCCTTAATACTTCATTTTTTTTTTAAAAGATCGAAATATTTTGATTACTTGTGCAATATTTACCCCTCATCACCAAAATAACATTTTCCCCGGCAATGTATACCGACACTATAATGGACAGCGGTATCCGCTTTGTGACCCATAACCTTTTTCCATTTTCTTTACAGCTTGCCGTCAGATATTGGCAGTATTTTCTTTCAATGTCATAATATTCGAACCAACTTTACAAACATTGTCTTCTGTTTATCTGCCATCTTTCTCTATAGTAATATTCTTGGTCGATCTATTGAAAATGTCTCCACCTCATTACATTAGAAGATGCCAGCTGTCATAATACTCTACGGTGCATTCTGGGATATCGTGTTTTGGTATACGATAAGTTATTTAAAATTTATACATCCGGGCAGTCGTTCAATCTTTGTCAGCCAAAAACACCATTTTACATTCCATTAGGAATTGGGAGAACTTTTCCACGGACAACTTGATATGCAAAGTCGTGTCCATGTTCAAAACACCATCTCATTTTCCTGTGCAATTTGATGCATTTTTTTTTATATTATTATTTTCCCGGGATTCGGAATTTATTTTAAATAAAAAATATCGATAATCCTGAACTTGATTGATATGGACATAAAAAAACATTCACTCGTATTAGACAACTTCTATGTTGTTGTTGTTGTTATTACTATTATTATTATTATTATTATTATTATTATTATTCCATACATTTTCATGTTTACGCCAAATGCCTGGCAGTTATCGCTGGAGACTGATACTAAGGTTCCTCAGATCACTAATACATTCCTCAGTAACTCCTCAGACCGCCATTATTTGGATACTTCAATTTTTCTTCTTCTATTTCTTCTTCTTATTATTATTATTAATATTATTTTAGTCATTATCATTATTATTATTATTATTATTATTATTATCTTATTATTATTATTATTATTCTAGACATCATCATTATTATTAATATTATTTTAGTCATTATCATTATTATTATTATTATTATCTTCTTATTATTATTATTTTAGACATCATTATTATTAATATTATTTTAGTCATTATCATTATTATCATCATTGTTTCTTATTTTCATTATTATCAGAATATATATTATTTTTTTTATTAATATCATTCGTATCATCATCATTAAAATCATTATTAGCATTTTCGTCTTATTATTATTATTATTATTATTATTATTATTATTATCTTATTACTATCAACATCATCATTATTAACAATATTAATTCTTCTTATTGTTATCTTATTATTATCATCAACATCATCATCATTATCATTACTATCTTAATATTATTATCATTATTATTAAAATTATTAAAATTCTCCTTATCATCATCATTATAATTATCAAAATATTTTCTTCTTCTTTTTTGCTATTATCGGGCTATTACTGAGACCTGGGGTAAGTCCAGCTAGTAAATATATGAATTTTGTTTTTGTATTATTATTATTTCTATTTTATTCCCTTTGATTTCTGGTGTGTACACATTTCTTTCCGGGTCCAGCCAAGAGAACTATTGTTAGAAATGACATTTTCCACTGTCCAATTAAACACACACACACACACACACACACAAAAATATATATATATATATATATATATATATATATATATATATATATATATATATATATATATTACATAAATAAGCCCTTCTTAAGGTGTAAGCAGTACTCGTGAGAACAATGTTTTGTAGTTCTTTAAGGCATGGGCTTCCAGGAATCCCTTCAATGAGTCTATTGGAATTTTTCCAACCAGTCCGTGGGCTCCAACTACAACAGGAGTTGTTGATGTTCCCATGTGCCACATTTTAGTGATTTCAATTTCAGTATGATAATAATAATAATAATAATAATTATTATTATTATTATTATTATTATTATTATTATTATTATCTGCTTTCTGTTCAGTACAATTTCTGACCGGATTTTTACTCACGGCCTGGGGTAAAACAAGGTAGTAAACATATGCTTTCTGTTTGCACAAATTCTGATACTAAGTGACTGCATATCTTAAGTATAACTTAAGATGTGCAGTCTTTGTATCTTCTTTACATCAATAATACTCTCCTGCGTAGATGAATTGTTTCCACAGCGTGCAATATTTTGTGCCTCTTCTAAAAAAAGGTTATAAATGATTTTGATAATATTCTTGTTTGTTTTTGATTGTACCCAGGGCTCCAGAATCCTTACACCATTCAGTTGTGAGTCAGATTTGTTGAAAGTTTTTTTTTCACAAATTAATGCCTTAAAGCTGGAAGATAAAATGTTGTACTTTCGCCATATTATGCTCTAGGAATTTCGGATATGTTTGATCGTCGGACCTGCGACAAAAAGAAAATAATTCACAAAATTTATTTGGATTGTGGCGGGCAAAAAGTGGTTTGGCATATTTCGTCAGGGTGATTTTAACCTACGTGATCAACCACGATCCGCGTGACATTCTGACGCCGATGAAGATGTTCTGCTTGCCATCGTAGAGAACAAGCCAAAGATTTCGACGGAAAAAGATTGCTAAGAGTTTGAAAATCGATATTTCAATTGCCTTTCGACATTTGAAGACACTTGGATTCGTTTCCAAACTCGACATGTGGATACCACATTCTCTGATGGAAGAGAACCAACACGGGTGTGGTTCTGCGACGATTTATTTGCCGGTACGTCACGAAAATGATCCGTTCTTGGACAGAATTGTTAGAGGCGATGAAAAATGAATCGTTTATGATAAATTTCGATGCAGAACCCATGGCTAAAGCGAGCTTGCATCCAATGAAGATGTTGCTGTCTGTTTGGTGGAAATGCAGAGAGATAATTGACTTTAAGCTTTTTCCAGTCGTAGAAATAATAACTGCAAAGAATATTACGACCAACTCATCAAATCTCAATGCGGCTATTCAAGAAAAACGGCCGATTTTGGGACATCAAAAATTGTCATTTTCCACCACGACAACGCAACGTGTCGTAAAATAAACCTTGCAGAAGTTTAAAGAGTTGAAATGGGAAACCGTCCAGCATCCACCGGATTCTCCTAATATGGTTCCTTCGGATTCTCATTTGTTCCGGGCTCTACAGAGCAATATAAAGTACAAAAAAATTTACTCTGAACAGTCAGTCGAAAACTATCTCACCCCATTCTTCCAACAAAACACGATGTTTCTCCAAAAATGGCAACATGCTTGTAGAACAATGAGTGACAGTTGTTAAAAACAATGGCGACAATATACTTGAGTAATAAATGTTTCTGCGTCTTATTTGGCACGAACTTTTGAAAGAATCTGATAGTTTTAAGGTGCTACTTTTTATGGTGTTATTTTCAAGAATTTATTTAATGTTGTGACTTGTTTGGGACAGAAATAAAAAAAACAAGAGAGGAATTGAGTTAAACAAATATATTAACAGAAACAGTAATGCAAACATATACAAACAAGAGTGTTACAGCAAGAATGTTCAGTCCGACTCTCAGAGATGTCTGCTGGAAATTTTTCTCTCCAAAAGGCAGTACCTGCTCCTATTTATAACTGGGAGATCCATGCATGTGTGGGTAAATGTTATGGTCCAGGTTAGTACCAAAGAAGAACAACACAAACACAAGAGTAGAAATAACGAAGGTATATTACACGAAATAATAATACAAGATGTGGAAGGTGTTAGTATGACTGTCAGTCTGGTTTGGAGTGAACTACTATCGGCTCGACTCGAATCGTCCCTCTCCCTTGAGAGGCGTAGTATACATAGTGTTAGGAAGAGTTCATTCTGTAGTTATAGGTAAGGACCCATGACACCCCCCTCCCAAGCTTTTACCTCGCAGGGGTCTTTAATATTTTTTCCTGTTCGGATTAATCATCAAAGGCTCTGTAAATTTTCTTTTTCTGCTTGATTTCCGCGGTTCTGAAATTGCTTGAGGCCTTTGCATATTGAATGTGTCAAATATTGTGTCCATTACTTCTTCCTCTTCCTGAGGTAGACCGTTAAAATCCTCTCACAGCCTCTTTCTGGTTTGATTTAAGTGCGAGAACTTCGGACCCTGAATTATGTAAATCACGTTCCCGATTCGTTTCTCTATTGTACCTGGCTCCCAATAGGATGAGTTGTTTTTGAACATTTTAAAAAAAACTTTCTCCCCTTGGATCTATTTTCTTTTTGGTACAAACGACGCTGGTGATTGCTTTGTCTATTTTGGCAGTAAATTACCATTACATTTTATCATATTGTGTTATATCAATGAGGAGGCAATTTTATAATTCTAACACCAGAAAACAGTATATCAACAAAGTGACGCTGGGAAACAAATACTCGAAACCCAATATATCATAACACCAAATCTGTTAAGGTTATACTACGTACATGCATCACAGCCATATGCGTATGCTATGGTAACAGGTTATAACAAAAGCAACACATAACCTTACAAGTGTGACGCAGTACGATATATCTTTAGTCTGGATAAACAAGTCCGCTCAGACTGTCTCCAATTTAAAGTGTTTCCCAGTATCAAGACGTGAAAATCCCAAATTGCCTTGGCTGCCCCATGCTTGAAACTTATAAATATATTCTCTCAATACCGGATCATAATGCTTCTCCCGCCCATGAACAGAAATAGACAGTGAGTCAGCCTGTCGGGTACGTGACTAAATGGTTATGGTCATGAAACTAACAAACAGATCTGGGGTACTTAACCAGATATTTACTGTAGTCGGCAACCCGCGGACCGGATTCGGCCCGCGAAGGCATTTTGACCGGTCCGCGAGCCTGATTACCAATGACTCTACTTTTAACATGAGAGACGACCTTCAAATGAAATTTGTTATAGGTCATTTTCCATAGAATGTCTACACATCTCAGTGCACTAAAAATATTAGACTATCTGCCAGTTATCTTTCATGAGACTTATTTTACCAAGTTGCGTTGCCTACGTTTAATGTCAAATAATGGATACATATTTGTTATGACCCTTGGCTACATTAAAAGATAACAGAAGCGAAGGGAACGATAAAGTGAAAGAGGCCAGGGAGGGAATGACATGCGAGGTAGCAGAAATCTAAAGACAGTTAAACATACGCGCATTATACATACATGCCTCATGAATGTGTGGATGATACCGCATGTGTACGTACGTAAGTGTATATGTTTGCAACTATTTGTACTCATATGTATAGGTATATGTGCTTCGTTTTTGTTTGATGTGTGTGTGTGTGTGTGTGTGGTCCGTTTGTGGAACAATTTTCAATAACAGTTTCAAAACTGCACATCATAATTTCATCCATTTTCACTTCGGTTGTTTTTTCCACTTTGAAATATTTTGACGTTCTTTGAGGAAAAGTAATTTTTGTTAGGTGTTTTTTTTAATTTTAGATTTTCTTTTGTTTTTCTGATTTCTCAATGTTTATTTTCCTTATGGTTTTAAATATTTAGGTTGACAGGGATCTGCATATGTAATTTTCCTTAATTTTTCATTAATGGCCTTCGTCCGGCCCGCGACCCGTCATTATAACACGATCCGGCCCGTATACTATGTCGTTAATTTTACTATAAAATGTACTAATGGTAATTTTATTATGAAAAATCTACTATAAAAATGTCTTCTTGGTAATTTTGCTTTAAAATATATACCTGGCAATTTCATTACAAACATGTATTATTGGTAATTTTTATATATATATCAAATATCAATATCTGGTATTTTTGCAATAAAAATGTACATTTATACTTTACTAATGTTTTGATTTTTGTTTGGAATTGACTATTTCCACATACTTGGGACCCTAACAGGTGCTACCAACCCTGGTCAGGGTGAACATGGGAGCAACAACAATTAAGAGATGGTTTCACTCTCCTCAAAATCTCCAGTCTCCTGATCAGAGGCCTTGCTGCCGGATGTAGTTTATCGTCATACCCAGGACTAGAATAACGAATTGGTCTGTAAGTAAAGCTTGAAAGCCATCGTGCTATATTCAACGCTCTTAAAAGTTTACTAAATTTAACATAGTCAAGAATTGTGTAGTCGGTGCCAAGCTAACTTACTATACAAGCGAAACAGTTTACAGGATGTTAATAATAAAACTGCACTACGGCAGGCACCCAATGTTGCTAATGCTTATTTTAGTAAGGAAAAAAATATCTTAATCGATAGTCACCGGGAAAGTCATACAAATACCTTATCTACTTTTTAAAATCACTAAAAAGTTACGCACGTTTTTAAAATGGAAAACATTTTTTTTTAAATAAAGGAACATAGCAAAGTTTAGCAGGATAAAGAAAAGATAGAAGACGTCAGACTGTACGAAAATGGGATTTAATGAAGAAGATGTGAAAGAAAAATGGCGGCGTATGGACATAAGATAGCTTGTCGATGTGAGCATGCGTGTATACATGAGTTTGATCGGCTGCCGAAACGCATATTTCGATCGACAAATAAAATACAACCCTAAATAAACAAATAATTCACGTTGTAGGAATTATTCTGAAAAGGCCATGAAAAAAATGTTTGATGAAGAATTTGAAGTTTTAAAACTTGTTTTGAAAATATATATATTTTAAAAAAATATGATGGCGAATGGAATTTTCTTTGAAACTGTCATTTTGTGACGGGCTGTCATATTGAAGTGGTTTTTGAAAAACTGGTTTTTCGTAGTTGAGAAAAGTATTTTCACTTTTTTACATTTTTTTTTAATATTTTGTAACTGGATTATTATTTTGTTTCATTTATATGTGTTATTTAAGATGTATCTTTTGTCGTTATTTGTATGCGTGCTTGGTGTAATCATCTTCGGATTTGTGTTTAGTTGGTTTTTTTTTTTGCAATCGGTAACGTTATCTTTAAATCTCTTGATATTGGCACCATCAATAATAAAAAAAATGTCCTTTTTGTTGTTACCAACAAAAGTCGTAATACTTTGACATATTTCTTA